GTCATTAACCGGGGTTGGCACGCCGCCGTCCCCGCGCCGGGGGCCCCCGTGCTGGGCTCCAGCTGCTGATAACCTGATAACTTTGGGGACGTCACGTGAGGAGGTGGGAGAGGTGACTGGCACCGCTCGGGGACAGGGGTGTGGATTAATGCGGGCCCGGGCTTGGGCTGGGGATAAAAGCGTCGAGGCCTGCCCAGGTCTCAGTCCGTCTCAGCTCTCCCCAGGCAGCGCCGGGACCCGTCCCGCGCCCACCGGCACCATGGCATCAGGGTGGTCCTGCTGGGTCCTCCTGCTGCTCCTGCCTGCCCCGGCCCACCCTGGGGGGCCTGGCCCTGTCCTTGTCAAGCGTCCCTTCGTCACCATCTGGAACATCCCCACCGAGCGCTGCGCCGAGAAGTACAATGTCACCCTCAACCTGGAGGTCTTCGACGTGTTGGCCAATGACCAGCAGTCCTTCATCGGGCAGGACATCACCCTCTTCTACAACAAGGAGCTGGGCTTCGTCCCCTACTACACATCCAAGGGGGTGCCAGTGAATGGGGGGCTCCCCCAAAATGCCAGCCTGCAGGCCCACCTCCATGAGGCCGCCCGAGACATCAAAGTCACCCTGCCCAGCCCTGCCTACAGCGGGCTGGCTGTCATCGACTGGGAGAAGTGGCGCCCGCTTTGGATCCGCAACTGGGCCTCCATGGACATCTACCAGCAGAAGTCAGAGGAGCTGGTGCGGCAGCAGCACCCGCAGTGGCCCCCCAACCTGGTGAAGGAGACAGCCAAGCAGCAGTTTGAGCAGAGCGCCCGCAACTTCATGGAGCAGACCCTGCAGCTGGGTAAGACCCTCTGTCCCGATGGCTACTGGGGGTTCTATGGCTTCCCCAACTGCTACAACAATGACTTTGACAGCGTGCCCTACACTGGGATGTGTCCGGTGGTGGAGCAGCAGAGGAACAAGGAGCTGTGGTGGCTCTGGGAGAGCAGCCAGGCGCTGTACCCCAGCATCTACCTGCCCTCCTGCTTCAATGGCACTAACAAGGCACTAACCTACGTCCGGCACCGCATCGCCGAGGCCTTCGCTGTCCAGCGTGGCATCCTCTCCAGCGGCATCCCTGTCCTGCCCTACTCCCAGATTGCCTTTGACTGCACCACTGACTTCCTCTCCCAGGTGATGGGGACGTGGGGATGGTGGGCACCTCTCAGGCTGATGGGTTGGTGCCAGGGCATCTTCAGCTCTGCCGGGGTGGTGCGGGGGCTTTGGGCATTGTTGACTTCTCTCCCCTTGGGTGCAGGAGGACCTGATGAACACCATCGGGGAGAGCGCGGCTCAGGGTGCTGCTGGCATCGTCCTCTGGGGCAGCCTCAACTACAGCACCTCCAAGGTGAGTGCGGCGGGGGGGGGCGGCGGGTGGCACTGCCCCACCGCCCCTGGGGACACCCCTGTTCCCTGGCCATGCAGGGCAGTGACACCATGTGCTGTTGCAGGAGATGTGCCTGAGGCTAAAGGACTACGTGGAGGGGCCCTTGGGCCACTACATTGTTAATGTGACGGCCAGCGCTGATCTGTGCAGCCAGAGCCTGTGCTCCGGCCGGGGCCGCTGCGTGCGCCAGGAGAACAAGCAGGGCTTCCTCCACCTTGACCCCTTCCGCTTCACCATCGACCTGCAAGCTGGCAAGCCCTGGCTGGTGGTGCAGAGCCTGGAGTCCAGTGATGATGCCCTCCAGCTGGCCAAAGAGTTCAGCTGCCAGTGCTATGACAAGTGGCAGGGACCCCGCTGCAACACCCAGGGCTTCGCTGAGTGAGCACCCCCCCCGCCGCTATGCCAGGGACACTGGGGCAGGCAGGATGACACCACCCCGTGCCCCCAGGACCCTTGCTGTGCAGTTACGAACCTGACCACAGGGCTGCTAATAAAACTGGTAGGCACCTGCAAGCGTCTCCTTGTCTTCCACCACAGCACGTTTTGGGGTGAGAGGGTCCCCCAGTGACACTGGCAGTGCCTCACAATGCTGCCAAGTCTGTGCATCGGGACAGGGGGTCTGGGAGTGTAACGCCTCAGAGAAGCCAGAAAAAAAGAAGAAAATTTATGGGAAAAGACATAGGAAGGGCGGATAATAAGGAATAACTGATTTAAACTAAAGAAGAATAGATTTAGACTAGACATTAGAAAGAAGTTTTTTACAATGAGGGTGGTGAAGCACTGGAACAGGTTGCCCAGAGAGGTGGTAGAGGCCCCATCCCTGGCAACATTCAAGGTCAGGTTGGACGGGGCTCTGAGCAACCTGATCTAGTTAAAGCTGTCCCTGCTCATGGCAGGGGGGTTGGTCTAGATGACCTCTAAAGGTCCCTTCCAACCCAAAGCATTCTATGATAATGGGGGAAGAGGATGACGAAACGGGGAATGATGGGGAGTGGCCAGCAAGTGGAGGTGATGGGGTGAAAAGATGTGCCTGTGCAGCTGTGGCCAGAGGTGCACAGGACCCCCTGCTCCTCCCAGGCATGAGGGCTGCAGTGTGAAACCAGTGTCCGCACTTTGTTTTTATGCAAACAGGTTCAGCCCTGGAATGACATGAAAGATCACCGGTTTCTGTAACCCTGGCTGCTGACTCAGCAATACCTGTCTTAAAGCGATCAGGAGAAGGCATGAGATGAAACACTACTTCCCTGGTTCAGCTTAGATGAAGACATTGGCATCTTCATCTGGATGTTCAGCTTGGGGTGGGGGGATCACACACTCAGTTCTCTGATCTTAGGCCCTAATTTGGGCAATCTCTCCGTGATGGGACTGCGCTGCATAGCACTGCATGTTTACTGGGGACTTACGAAGTTGCAGCATTATTTCTTATGCTGGTTAATGTAAACCACTGCAAAGCATGAAAGAAATGAACCCCCTGCTCAGTAAAAAGGGCAGCATGAAGCTGCATCTAGTTTAGATGCTTCAGTTAAATCCTCTTTGCTAAACTGTGCCTTGGTAAATGCTCTTATGAGAGGTTCTTCCTTCAGTTGCTGGGTAATAGGTTGTCTCCTCCTGGTAAAAGCTGACCCATGGCTCTAGGGCACAGCTGTGACGGCTGAAGAGTCGCACGACTCATGAGCTCCTGTTCTTCTGGAATGGCCTTGGGAGAATGCCTCTGCAGAAGAGAGGACCTCTCATTCACAGATTTCACGGGGAAGAGCATCCCTCGTGCATGCACCATGCAAGCCTCCTCCTGACTTTTACTTTCTAGTGCTAACAAACCAGGCTGGGCTCTTCTCAGAAATGGTTCAACTGGTCAACTGCAGGCAGATCAGTTGCTTCTGCTTGGGCTGTGGGTGGTGAAATCGGAACTTTGCTGTGCAAAGAGGACGGGAAAACAGGGAAAGGTTTATTGTCCAAAGAGTTTATTACCAACTCTACTAGGCTGTTGTTTCTTGACAACTCTGGAAAAAAGACTGGAAAACCCTAAGCTACGAGAACTACGAAAACAGAACTCTCTTCCTGTTTGCTGCCCGTTTCTTCTCTAG